TCGTTGTTTTAAAATTTATTTAATCCGCCCGCCTGCCTAATGTTTAAAAATTATTTTAAGCTGGTTTGGCTCTTTATTTATTTATTTTCATGTATTTTTAATTAAACATATATAATATGCGATATTATGAATATAGCCGAATAACAACACTAATTTTTAGATAAACCATATTTTTTTCATGAATACTTTGGAAATTTGTATTTGAAATAATTCTTAAGATAATTTTTGTGCATTAATATATTTCCATCATTCATTTTTATATATAATTTAAATTTATATATCAAATTTTATATGCTTGAAAGATTTATCCTTTTTTTACAATGTCCCCTTTCGAGACATTTATTACAATGATTCAGCCGATTATATACATTTAATATTTTTTAATAAATTTATATTTGAATTTGTGTAATAGAAATTGTCAATATTTTATAGTCACAAGTAGTGTTGTTAAATGGCTCGATTCGAGCCGATTTTTAAAAACGGCTAACTAAAGATTTTAGCCACAAAAATATTATTTGAGTCTTGAAATTTTGCTAATAAATATCCAAACCTTTGTGCCATCTATAAGCAAAATCTTCAGACTGGCCTTATATTTTTCTGGATAAAGTATTTAGTTCGTCGTGTTAAAAATCGGCTCAAATCGAGCTGTTCAATAACGCTAGTCACTAGTCTTAATAAATTTATGAAAAGTTGTTCTTAAATGACTTTTAGAATTATTTTTATAAATAAATTTAATTATTCCCCTCCTCCACAGTAAATTCCTGCGCACGCGCCTGACTGTATAAATACGCCATTATTTAAATCCTATTATGAGTATGATATATAATTCGTATATTTTATAGGATTGAGATAGTAGTCTATATAGAGGTCAAATTTTGGGTTCTAATCTTACTAAAGAGGATGTCACCGATCATATTGTTTTGGCACACTAACAACTTTGCCGATAATTGGCGTAGCCTGAACTTTCTTATAGGTTATTTTATGGGGAGCGTCCCTTTCATACTATCTTTTGGCTGATTTTTGGCCCTCTTTTTATTGGTATTCAGCCGAGGCACATCTATTTTTCATTTTTAATATTAATGATTTTTATTTAAATGTTTTTATTGAAAATTTAAAGCGGTAACTTTATTTTATTTGGAACCATAAAATTTTGCGATCAAGATAATAAAAATAGAAATATACCTATATTATTGTTTCTGACACCATCGGTGATTTAGGATCCACAGCCCGTGATTTCCTCAAAGCATTCAAAAATGCTCTTAATTTTTGGTGATTCTAAGGAAAGTTTTTTCCTGCGACAACGGATCATTCGAAATATGTAGATTACACTGTATAGCAATTCAAGGTGCCATTACTTAGATACACCTTTTCACGTTTTTTAAACATATTTTTTATTATAAAATTTTTATTTTCTTTTTTCAAGATATCGTTTATATTGTATCTCTGTGGCGTTACTAGCCTTTACAATCTTGGAGGCTCAAATATTATTTTTTTAAAATTTCTGAATTTTTTTAATGTTATTTTATAAAACTGACTTATGGATTTTTTTTAAAAATTCAAATTTTTTATGGAGTTTGAAACTGTGCCCCCCCCCCTCCCACTTGATCATTTTATGAATTGAAATCATTTTTAAATCAATAAAACAACTAAACACACTGATCTCCAATACAACATATGACATCTTAGACTAATATAATAGATGAAATGAGTTGAAAAAAAATTTGGTTAAAACCCCGTTTATTTAGATTATATTTAAAAAATAAATTTGCAAGCTAACCGTCAAAATTCTCACCCTCCTCCCCCTCCCACTTATGTCAATTTGAAAAATATTGTATAAAAATAACTTGTTCAAGAATTCCGTAATTTATTTTAGTTCCCAAATAGGGTTAGGCTAATATTAATTTATTCTAACCGGGATTTTGATAGGTCTAACATTATGAAAATATAATATCTTCAAAATATTTAAAGAATCGGTATTACAAGCATTAAGAGATATAATGATGCATTATATTATAAAGGGCAATTATAAAGTAAAAAATATCCTAAAAAGTGATTAAATACATATATTTTAGATAAATAAAAGTATAAGGCCAGAGAGGAGGGAATGATTAGGAAATTAGAGGTATAAATCTGGGGAGATTTTTAGGCTGAAGTAAAAACCTACATTGGGATTTCCGGTCTTTAAAGTTATCACAAGACAAGGCACTATATGTTGATATCAGGGTTGCTAGGTCTCTCATATTAAGTGATAGACAATCGTAAATATTAGAAATGTAATATTTACCACATTGATCAAACTTCCTAAATTTACACAAATCTACCATAAAATCTCCAAACAATTCATGAAAATGAATAAAAAATATAATATATTACGGTCGAATCACATAATCAGTCAATTCTCTTATTGACTGATTTAAATCTTAGTCAATTCTCCTATAGACTAATTTAAATCTTAGTCAATTCTCCTATAGACTAATTTAAATCTTAGTCAATTCAAGTATATTGCCAATATACAACTTCAAAATAATTCAAAAATTCTGGAAAATTCTTTAAAATTTATAGAATAAGTTTTCTATCCACACTGGAATGATTTTTTTGATAAAATCAGATTATTAAAATGTAGAAAACGCTTTAAGCAAATAATTCTATAATTTACTAACTTTAGATAATTTTTTTAAGGCTTTTTTTAAATCGAAATAATCTAATTTTTCCGGGAGTGTATTCCAGCATGTGTAAAATGCCTATCCTTTAAATCTTAGGGCAACTTTATAAGATATTACGTGATTTGGCTAACAATATGCGCATTGGTTGATTATGCGATATGACTGTAACATGTATTTCAAACATTTGTAAAATTATTTTCCTCCATCTTCCTTATTATGGCAGGAAAAGGTTGGATGCGGTTCAAATACGCCAGCAGTAATTGAATGGGGTCAATATATTTCTAGCAAGTTTATTCTTTCTCAAAAAATAATTTGTTATTATAATATTACCTTTTTACTAATTTTTTCATTTTTCCTGTCTTTAATGACTTAATGACTCTAGCTCATTAATTATCTATTGACCCACACAAAGAAGATAGATTGTAAATAAAAATCACTGTTAACCTAAAAATTTATACATGCCTGATTCAAGATATTATTCGAAGAACAAATAGCACAAATATTATACATTGTAGAGGGGAGTTATGAGGAAAACTTAGAAAAACACTTTAAATATATAATCCAATTTTAGTTAAAATAATAGTCTTTAAAAGGGCACTCAAGTTATCTCAAATGGATGTAATTTGGTTCTCCGGAACGTTCTCTCAAAATTTATCTATGATTGATAAACTGGATTATTCGTTTTAGAATAAAAACATTAATTTTTAATTCATATAAATATTCTACCTTTTTCATAAGGTTAAAAACAGCCTTAAAAAAAGTAAAAACTTGATTAGACAATTAAATATTGAAATTTAATTTCGGGAAATGGAATCAATTAACATATAGTGATGAAAGCCGATTAAAAGGGAATATAATAACAAATAATAATCTCTCTTTATGAGAAAGAGAAATAAAATTGAAAAAAGAAAAGGACTACGAAATTCCCAAAAATGTAATTATCTAGAGTACATAACTAGAAAGTGTGTGGGAAATTGTTATTTATTAATGACATTAAAAAATTTTACAACTTCTAAATATTCTTTTAATATCTAATCAAATGATTGATATTTTCCTCAAGGGAATAATTGCTTAGGGCATGCTTCCATATATTAAACATTATTAAAAATTTTAAACATATAAATTTATGTGATAGTCGTTTTTTTGAAACACGATTCACTTTAAAATTTTTTGGTGATTATGATATGACTAAACTAAGGGAATTAAATGTTTTAAAGTTTTTTATATGTATAGAAATGTATTATAACCCTAAAAGTTTATTCAAAAAAAAATTAAATTCTCATGTGTTTTTTTTATTACAAACTCACAAACTTTTATCAGATGATTATCTCAGAAAGATGGCCTCACAACTAATCCATGGGCCATGGGTAAGTTTCTCGATTACACCAGTATTACCATATTTTTCCCACAAATATAAATAGCAACACGCTCACTCGCTGAAACAAAAAATATAAACAAATATAAAACTTTGGATAACTTCATTTTTACTCCTTCCAATTGCCACTTCCATAAGTGGATATTTTTCCTTTAACAACTTCCTTTTGGCCCATAAAATACGAATCCACATATTGGAGACCAAGGAATTCGAATCTAAGAAAATAATTCCCCGGAAAAAAAATCCCCATTTTTTAAGATATTAAAAATTACAAAATTAATAAAATAAGAGAAAAAATTCCCCATAAAATATATCCATGGAATAAAAATACTCAAATAATATATTTTAAAATTTTGAAGAAATCAATTCCTTCTAAGAATTATTATTAGGAACTTTTTCTTCCGGGGAATTATATTCTGCTTACCAAGGAATTCCTTTTATCCAAATTGAAATATTTGTAAATATAATTATTGCGCGTTTTTAGGGACTCAATTATGTATTTCATAATTCTGTACCTCCACCCCCCCCCTCCCCTAAAATAATTTTGTATTTTATATATTGTATATATGTATAATTTTTAATTTTTAATATGTTTATTTAAAAAGAATAAAATTTGTCAATTTAAAAAAGGAAGTAAATCCTATGTTAAAGGTTAGAATTTCAAAATTAAACTTTTTAAATCTGAAAATTACTTTTTTTTACTTTGAATAGCCTTAAAAAAGCAAAACTAACCCATAGATTATAAATTTCTTAATGAAACTAGTCAGTTTCCTAATATTAACTGAGTAATTTTATCTATACAATTTCAAAATTGATTGCTTTATTCCTACGGTAAGTTAATTTTAATTTAGGGATATTCTTTTAAAATTTAAATGGGGTTTCCAAGAAATTTATAACTAAATAAAAAATAATTTTGTAATAATATGTGATTTATTTCTAATAAGAACAAATATTCTATTTAGACGACAAACAGCAGAAGAACGTGAGATCGAGAGGCAAGCTACGAATAAGTTGATCCTTAGACTACAAAAATCGAATAATTTAGACAAATCATTCTTCCAAGAAAAATCAAATCATTTACCTTTTTCAATGGAAAATATCGTTGAAATGCGCAAAAGCCCCAAAATCAAAAATTTATATAGTACTAATGATTTGATCCACAACAATAATAATAATAAAGACACCATGGTTCTTACCGTTCCAAATGATAAAATTAACATGAATGGTTATAATTCTGATATAATAAAACCCCTTCTTAATTCACGCGTTGACATTGCAAGTAAAGATGTTATACAGAGCAAAGATACAACATATTTTAACAAGGATTTTGATGAAACTCATTATAGTGAAAAAGGTCAAAATGTAACAGAAACCCAAATTTTAAAGGACCCATTAGAAAATAATAATAGTCTCAATCTCCTTACCAACACATTTTTCATACAAAAAATTATTAAAACTTATTAAAAAAAATAGAAATATATACACAAATTTTACATAAAAATTTAAAATGTTTAATATTATCTAAATATGAGGAAAGATTTTGTAATATAATGCATTCTATCTGAAGTTTTATATAATTGTTGATTTTAAACCATTTTATAGAAGCTAATATAATATAATTTTAATTATTAACGGATATATCTTTATACTAATAAAAAACTAGTCATCACACACACATTAATAACATGTATTTAATTTGAAATAAATAATAATTTAGTAGCCAATATCCTTATTCACACTTATAATATTAAATTCTGAAGATTTTCGAAAAAGCTTTGGGCTTTAAAATGTTTTTAAAGTTTCGGGCTCGGTAAAATTTTTTATGAAGGAAATTTAGACATAAATTTGCTAAAATAAAATAATCTTAAAATTTAGCCTGGTTCAGCTCGCAAAAATATGTTACATAATTTGTTTCTGTATTTAGTAAGAATATCATTTTCTTTTTCATCCTTTATTTTTCAACAATCAATTTTTATATTCAGATGAGACGCCCCTGAAATCTAACCAAACAATAGAGAGAGAATCTTAGAAATAAAAGAAATTTTTATTGAATTTTAGTAAAAGTCGAAAGAGTAAAATCTTTAATAATGGATATTATTTCTATTTATTTTTTATCTAATTTAGTTATAAATGGATTCTTTATCATCATATCACTTTCTCAATATGGCTTGAAAATAAGAGTCAGGGAGTTTTCTATTACTGATTTAAAATAATATAATGCAGATTATTCTATATATAAGTAATTTAAAAAAGAAAAATACTAATTAAAAAAGATATAGGAAAGTTGTGAACGAAATTTTTTAGACGATTTGAATATCTACTATAAAAAAAATATAAAATAAAGGTGTTTATATATATTAAATACTATATACATTGGTGTAACCAAAGGATGGGACCCTCCCCCAGCAAATTTTTTAGTTTTCCTATATAACATTGGAGCGAATACCCCCCCCCCCCCCCTGAATATTTATCTTAAAAAAATAAGTTTACAAGTTATAATTTTTAAATAATGACTATAAATTTTAAGAAAAATGTTAAATATATTACATAATCCCACCAATAGCTTATAAAGAAGGGGCCTAACTATCCAATAATATTTTAGGGATATAAAAACCTACCCATCCCCTTACAATAATCTCCAAAGTATGTCTAAGAAAAATTATATACAATATGAAATTAGATTTTTATATAACTGTTGCATGATGTTTATTAGTAAAATTTATAAAAACTCTGGAAATATATTTAAAGAATCTCTAACTTACAATTTAGTGTTCCATAATTATTACAAACCATACTTCCCTATGCTTTCAATCTGTGGTTGATTCTTCCCAAACTCGTCAATACTGGTGTCATAGAGCCTACCCCTCTTACCCAGAGCAATAGCTCTAAGATTTTTACTTAAGGAAGACCGGGGTTATGGCGAACCCTAATAGGCAAACCTTAATAATATTAAAAGTATACTTTATCATTTTTAACAAAAAATATCTCATTTTGATCAGATATATTAGTTTGAAGGTACGTTTAAATTTCAAATATACATATCTAATACTTTTTTCAAAATTTTATTTTTTGGAATTTTTTTTGAGAACGAGTGAACCCTAGCCGGGATGCCTTTGCTCGGGGCTATTATATCTGCTTAATTTTCTACATAAAAGTTATATATTTTTTTTATTAGAACATATTTAATGATTTAAAGCATAAAAGTAATATATAAAATCATTTATAAACAAAATGGAATTATTATAAATCTTTGCAAATAAAAAAAAGGATTAAAATTGAAACATCTTCCGTGTGATCAATACCTACATTTACGATATTGAAACCAGTCATGATTAATGATACTAGAATTTTTTTGCACACTAAACAATGGTTTTTCTTATTAATAACATTTTTTGATTTTTTTCTTTTATTTACTCTCTTCATGGACATTTTTTCCATGTTAAAATCTAAAAAAATGGGGAAAAAGGCTCGTTCTAACCTCATAAAAATAGCCCCGATGCCACTAGTCAAGATCATGTTTTAATTCTATAAAATAGGATTTTTTCTTTTATATAAGATAATTTTTGGGTGGTAAAAATGTACATTAATCTTTATTTTAGAAAAATAGTAAAGGTTTAAAAAGTTACTTTTGCAGGTAAGAATCATATAATGCATTATCAAAATTCTTCAAGCTATCTGATAGAAATAAAAATTATAGCCGCATTGCATTATATAATTATTTGGTAAAAAAATCATCCCTTAAAGTTTAATACTCTAGAAAATAAAGCCACGTCTCGCTATAACCCCGAGTTCATTATATCCCCGATCTCCCCTAATTTAGAATGGCATGAACCAAATTACTCTTCCAACTTCCACAGTATTAGCACTTAGATGTGTCCGTAATAGGCACAGGTGATTATCTATATTTGATCACAAGGCAATCTATGAAAATTATTCCTTTGCAACTTGGAGTAAAGGTTTATAACATTAATCTTTGCGCAAATTTCTTCCTAGATAGTAACTTAAAAATCAGGAATTTTTCCACATAATTCTATTGAATGTTACATCTCAGCTGAATTGGGTAGGAATTATTTATAATGCATTTGTATTAGTAAACTTAATTCCATTATTAATCGAACCTTGAACCCAGCTAGATTTTATTTTATAAATCAACTTTACCTTTTTTAAATAACACATATGACTCAACAGAATTCTTAGCAGAATGACAAGTTAAGAAAAACCAAGATGTTTTAATTGGTATTTTACTTGTATCGACTCTCACGTCTCCCAAAATAGGGACATTATAAAGGAAGGTTACGGAAAGGCGCAATCGGTCACATCATATTCTATAGGAATATTTTTTGATTCCGATTGTCTTGAATATAAAGGACAAAACCGTTCAATTGTCTTCCAAATTTAAAGAACTGACGGATCATGACCCTTATGCTGATTTAAAAGATCGGAATGGGTCAATGCAAAGATCGGACTCTGAAAAAAAAATTTATAAGATTAAAATATACACAAATGTACATATAATAAAAATATATTTATTACATATAACCATATATTTTTATATTGTAATAATATTTATTTATAATAATATTTATTTATAATATATAAATAATAAAACAAATTTAATCGATATATTTTTATTTAATTTTATATGATAGATTTTTTCATTGATTCAATTTTTTCTTCAGGATCCAAAACAGATAATATAAGATTGAAGTTGTTTTATGCTTATTTATATATGGTATCTCGATACTCTTTTGCGAAATGCATAAAATGTTTGAAGAAAAATCTAGGCAAGAAATAATAATTAGCTATTTAAATTTAGACAGTATTTTATTATCGGGGTTTCCCATTGGAAAAGTTCCGATCAAAAAATAAAAAGGGGCAATAAAATAAGGGGTGTCAATTTAAAAAGAAAAAGTCACAAAAAGAAAATATATATCAATCAAAAATGAAAAATGTCAATCAAAAATAGAAAAATTTCAATCTGAAATTTTATTTTTCTCTAATTTTTGGTTATTTTTTAATCTATTTTTTTCACATCTTTAATTTCATTATTTTCTTTTTCTCATTTATTCTCCGTCATTTTTCCTAAATTCCCAATTGTTTGCCATTATTGACCACTATTTTTCCATTTTCAACTTGGAATATAGCTCTAATTTGAATATAAAAGAAAATGGTTTAAATTTTTGTCAGAATTTAAAATCAAATAATAAGGAGGAATGTATTAATTTATAAAGAGCATGGATAGAAAGGAATAACCTAAGAGAATATCAGAAATTATTTTTAAGAGTTTTATAGGATGAAGGGAAATGATTAATATAATTATTTATTACTTATATTGCAATAGCAATAATATAATTTGATATACAACATTAATAAAAATTTGATTTCCAAAAAAAGAAAAAAATTATGGAAATATAAAATGAAAATATAAGGAGAAAAGGAAAATGGTAAAAGACAAGAAATTGGGTTAAAAATGTTTAGAGAATTGAGGAAAGATGACAGGAAAAATTAAGAAATGTTTAAAAAAGACAAAAGAGAATAAATAATGGGAAGAAAATAAAGGAAATTGAGGAAATATGACAAAAATAATGACGTAAAATTAAAGGGAAATCCCAAAAAGTTGGAAAATAAGAAAATTAAAAATGTCCGAGAATTAAAGAAAAATGATATTTCAGGATTAGTAAAATGATAACAAAAAAAACATTTAAAAAAACAAAATTGATATTTTAGTTTTTTGATTGAATCTTTTACTTTTCTTGAGGGACTTTTCTTTTTTTGTTCAAACCTTTTCTTAAGTCTTTGATACTTTTCCTTTTTTGATTTTTATTGCACAATTTATAATCATAAGTAGGATATAATTATGAACACTTCATAAGATGTAGAAATCACTATTATTTACTCTCCTTCTGATTGCATAATCTTACAGTTTATTATGTTCATTTTTAAAAAATTTTAAAAAAATGCCTCACAATAGGAAAAAAATTAATACCACAAGAAAAGATAGAATATTTGTTTGCAATATCCTTTATTTAAAATATAAATTCGAATAGTATACCAATAATTCTTATAAGTTAAATTTATTATTCGTCAAAATTTTTTTAATATTCGTATTCATAACTTTCAAATCGAATAACAAATCAAATATCGAATAATTAGTGACAGGCTTACCTTTAGCCTCTAATTTGCTAATAAAACTCTTATAATAGTAATATTTACATATATAATAATTTCTTGTTTAATAATTTAATTTTTAAAAATATTCTTCGGTAATAAAATACTTTATCATTTATCAGCCAATGTTATAAAACAAATTTATACAAATAAAATGTATCTCGTAAAAAAATATAATGGTAAAAAAGAATATAGATTTTGTTTTGGTTTAAAATAAGTTTATTTTTTTAAATTTATAAAATACTTCCCCAAAAATGTTATTTATTGCAAAATAAACATTTTTTATTAGTTTTTTTTAATGATAGTTTTTGAATAAACATTTGGTGGAATTTTACACTTTTGATATAATATTTG